ATTCAAGTCTCCGGCTAGTACTACAATATCTGTCGAACGCACTTTCTGGAGAAGAACAGATAATTGGTGGTAAAACTCATCCTTGATTGCATCCGGGCTGCAATCTGTCAGGGCATAGGCGGAGATGACGAAAAGACATCGTTTCTCACGCCGATTTCTCCTCACTTTGATGGAACTTTCTAATCTAACAGCACATAACCGACTGTCAATGGGGATCCAATCGACTAGTGCTGCCTCAGCTCTAGCGCTTAGTTCGACACCAACGCCTGCAAGACCAGACGAAGATGCCACAGGGTCCCCGGATAAGCGCACGTAAAACAAGCTTTTTGAAGTGACAGATGTAGAGCGAATTTGCAGTACTTCGCTAGAGTCTTGAATACGGGTCTCGGATAGACAACAAACATCAATATTAAGACTTTCCAAAGACATAGCCAGCCCTATCTGTTGACCAACCTGCATAAGTGTGCGAACGTTGAAGGCAGCCGGTTTGAATGGCGCACGTGGTTTCAGAAAAACTGCTTCAGTACTCATATTCGATGGTAACATACAACTTTCAACCGGACAGTGACTCGAGAACGTTTAGATACAGTCGGATTTCCACCAAAGCCGAGCCGCTGTATAAGTATGAAAGAGGGTGAATAATGTGGGAAATAATAATAATAATAATAATAATAATAATAATAATAATAATAATAATAATAATGACGACAATAATAGTAATAATAATAGTATTAATAATGACAATAATAGTAATGATAATTATTTGAATCGATTGATTGTTTTTGTTTTTCGGAGCGATAAAAGTAGTTGCCAAAGACATAGAGTTCATCGTTTGTGTGTGGGCTGTGATACTGCCCGGGTGCCCAAACCGAAGCAGGTGGTTTTCTTAGGGGGCCACTCCCCGAGCCTTTGACCTAAAGGTCTAACCCACAAGGCAGTGGAGCATCGTAAGGAGATGCAATCCCATGGTAGCCGGTGACCAAGGATTGGTTCATACGCCATTTGTTCCCGCAGGATACTGGAGCCCATGTGCACCATTGGTTTGTGATCCGGTTAAAGCGCCGGACATTCGCTTTTCTTCCTCCCATTTTCGTAAGCAACACCCGTGGTACGAGAAGGCAGTGAGTAGGACTTCCCTGGCAGAGGCTGTATACGCGCGGCCGTGTGAGAGTATTTCGAGAGGGAGAGCGGACTCACCCCACTCTCGGCCGTACCAGGGCATTCGAGGGCAAAATGCAGAGTCTTCTGGTAGCACTAAGCAACAATGCCAGAATGTTTGGGATGCGCTTCTCTCCCTCTAAATGCAAGTTGTTGCTTCAGGACTGGTCTGCGTCAACACCTGAACTAAGGATAGGGAGTGAAGTAGTCGAACGCGTCGACAACTTCACTTATCTTGGAAGTCTGATCAGCCCTAATGGGTTGGTGTCTGACGAAATCTGAGCACGGATTCGAAAAGCTCGTTTGGCTTTTGCCAACTTACGTCACCTTTGGCGGAGGCGAGATATCCGTCTATCAATAAAAGGACGAGTATACTGCGCGGCAGTCCGTTCTGTCTTATTTTACGGCAGCGAAACATGGCCTTTAAGAATAGAAGACACCCGTAAGCTACAAGTATTTGACCACAGATGCCTCAGAAATATTGCTGGCATCTGCTGGGATCACCGGGTAAGTAATAGTGAGGTTAGACGTAGGGTATTAGGGAATGATGGTAAATCAGTTGATGAGGTTATGAATCTTCATCGACTGAGATGGTTGGGCCACGTATTACGTATGCCTGAACACCGATTACCACGACGTGCAATGCTAACCGGTGTAGGGGATGGTTGGAAGAAAGTTAGGGGCGGCCAAACCAAACCGTGGCATCAGTGCTTGAAGTCACTAACTTCTAGTCTTAGCCATGTTGGTAGATGCAGACTACTTGGTTGCGGTCCGCGTGACTTTCGTAACCAATGGTTGGAGACTTTTGGTGACATGGCTCAGAATCGATCACAATGGCGTCGGTGTATACACTCTTTGTCTTCCCTTAAACTAAGAGATTAAAATCACTTCATATCTTTCTTTCTACGAACTAATTCTTCCTTCCTATACTATATCCTTATTGCAACCTTTGACCTAACCACTCCTATGAATCTGGTGTTCATCTTGTTGTGCTAATGAGGTATGGCAACCTGGACCGATGCACATATGTGCCTGGTCCTACGTTGTAGCTGACTGACTGACTGACTGAATCTGTAAAGATTATGAATCACTTACCAGCTGCAAAACTAAAGAATGGGTTTTCTGAAAACGGGCTTGGTATGCTCAAAAACTTTTCTTAGGACGTTGACATATTCATATTTTAGTTTTATTGAACTAATCTGCTTAGCAGTTCGATCCGTTCAGCATTATGAGTGTGAAACGTGGCTATTGAGGAAAGGATATATCCGTACTTGCTTACACCTGTTACCCCTCGTGAAGGAGCAAAGGCCGCCACCAACATTCTTCATCGAACTCTCTCCCGCGCAAACCTCTCCAGTTGCTACTCATCATTTGGATGTTTGCTTCCATATCCCGACGTAGTGTGTTCTTCAGCCTTCCTCTTTTTCGCTTCCCTTAAGGATTCCAGGTTAGCTCTTGCTTCGTGATGCAGTTTGATTATCTCCTTAATGTATGTCCGACCCACCTCCAAAGTCTTGAACACTGTTTTGTCTTCCATGTGTTCTTCGATTGTAGGAATGTTGCCCTTCTTTGCCAATCCATAAATTTACATCAGCATCTGATCTTCCTTGTTCATCGATGCTGCTGCTCAGATACGTGGAAGATTCCACCTCTTCCACAGCTTCTCCATCAAATGTGATTAGATTGATGTTCTTTGTGTTAAATTTGAGGATCTTGCTTTTACCCTTGTGTATGTTGAGGCCTAGTGATGCAGAGGCTGCTGCTACACTGACTGTGATTTGTTGTTGTATATGGGATAGAAGGGCCAGGTGATCTGTGAAGTCCGAATCTTCTAGTTGATTCCGAGCTGTCTATTGTATTCTGTGCTTCCCTGAGATGTCGAGGTCTTCATAATCCAGTCAACCACCATAAGAAAGAGAAAGAGGGAAGAGTAGGGAGTGTTGTCTGACTCCGGTTCTTATTTGGAATGCATCTGTCCTCGATGCACGACTTCTCAGTGTAGTCCGTCGTATGAATTCCACATGATGATGCAGTTTGTTCAGTTGTCCATTGCTTATTTAGCTTTAGCTTCATCTTGGCAACCATCAGGTGGTGATCTGAAGCTATGTCATCTCCTCTCCTGGTTCTCACATCTTCCATTGACCTTCTGGATTTTTTGGTGACGCAAATATGATCGATGTGATCCTGTGTGGTGTGATCCGGTGAGACCCGTGTAGCTTTGTGTATTCGTTTGTGTTGAAATATTGTTCTGCCTATAACCAATTTATTGAATGCACATAGATTTGCAAATCTCTCACCATTCTCGTTCGTTTTGCCCAGTTAGTCCATGTCGTCACATGATATCTTAATAACCGCTATTGTTCATTCCGACTTTGGCGTTTGGATCTTCCATCATTATGGTTAGGCCCTTGCCTGAGCACTTCACTATGATCGATTGTTGGTTGTATAACATTGGATAACACTCATTGTAATTCCCTCGTTCTTTGTTTCGAATGATACTTTGATGATCCTGGGTTCATGAGATTCCCATTCTATAAGCGCTTTGCGTGTTTGTTTGGACGGCATCAGATCAACTCCCTGTGTGTTTATGTGTGTGTGGAGCATTTACTTGTTTGTGACCAGAATAGAATAGCATCTCTCCCGAATTTACTCTTTTCTGTTCAATTTGGATCCAATAGTTTCTACATGTTGGGAGAATCGCCAAGTTGTATCTCCTCATTTCGGTTGCTGTTTGACTGGTGCTCCCGATCTCTCAAATTGTTCGAATATTCCGTGCACCTATAATAATGGTTGCTGTGGTTGTTAGAAGTATCGATCTCGTGACTTCCTTAGGATCTCGGCTTTTATCGTGAAGCGTCCTAATTCTTCCTTGTACTCGGGGGGCACAGTGTAAATTGTTTGATTTGTTTATTCTGGTTAATGTTTCTTTAGCGATGTATTTTCCTGCGGGATGGGGTTGCCGACCACATGTCCAACCCTCCTCGTTTACCCGTGCTCGAGACTGACAGTCACTATAGGTGAGTCACAGGTGGAATTCATTTGGTGAGATTTAAGCTTATAATAAATGGAATATACAATAAGAATATATATTGTTATAATCCATAAATAAATCCTAGCGGTTACAATTCACTTATTGTTCTTCTGTATATAATATTCTAGACCCACTGGGTTTATTATCGTTGTTTTACTGTTCCTATTGTGCATGTAAATATAGAGAGAGATTGGTAGTGAATGTTGTATTGGTAGCCAAATTATCTACAATAGAAGGAATAACTTATTTATTTATTCATTGCTTCACGCTACATAACAATGACTGTTAGTTCTCGACGAGACATCATCAGTTTTTCCCCATTTCATCGCCTTTTGTTTATTTCGTTATACTACTTATTATTATTCAGTAGCTGGCGTCGTTTTAAATCATTATGAGGGAATAGCTCATAACTTTTCTTCCTTGGTGCATCTTGTTAAAATTCTAACTTTGATTATTGTAATGCAACTTCTTAAAATTTAAAGCAGCTAGTCCTTTTTATGGATTTTGATCGAATAATGAGATGACGTGCAAATACCAAGCTTCTGAGTTTCTCATAATTACTTTACTCCACTTGAATTTATCTTGTATGCCTAATCTCTTTTATTACCACTGATATGTTTGCCACCTCTACTATTCTTGAATTTGGCGTTCCATTTTTTATCTTTGTGTTTTTATGGTATGGTAACTTGAACCGATTTACATACATACCATTATTACTAAAAATAGTCAATTATCTTTTCCTTTATTTCTACTTTAGTGATTATTTCTTTGTTTTATAGATTATTATCATTTCTCTTGTTGTTTGTTGTAGATTATACTTCAATAGTCCAGATGATCCATCGCGACGTAATACACAGACGGTGTTTTGGTTAACTGTTGAATGTCTAAAAGCTCTTTTAGCACCAATTTTACCTTATTTAATGGAAGAAGTGGAGTCGGTAACTTGGAATCTTTTGTCATCTCAATTAAATGACTTTAATCAGTCCACAACTCTTCTGGAACGTTATTCATCTTTATCCTTGCATAATTATTGTTCTGTAGACAAGTCTAGACCGTGTTCAGATTGGACGTTATGCTTATCGGCTATGAACCGGTGGGATAAGTTTAAAAATTATTCAAATTACGTAAATACTGCTTCTTCATTGTTTCATTCTTTAACCAATTCACTGCCAAAAGGTGATGAACATATACCTTCTACTAGTCCCTTGTCAAGTGCTAATGTACATATCACTATACCAACAAAAAGTCAAGAAGTATATCACATGTTAAAAGTATGTATTTTTGTCAATGAATTTACCTATATATATCCTTTCCAATAAATTCTTAAGTACTTGTTAATCAGGCTTGATTGTTTTTGAGGCTAAATAACCTTCAGATGTTAGATCAAATGCTTCACCAATGTCTTAATTAGTCGGGATCCAATGATCAATAAACTATTGTATAGATATGGGTTTTCTAAACCAATATCTAAGTAACTTCTCATTATTCCCTACTTCTAGGGAAGCAGGGACCCAGCGGCTATAGGGTTCAAAACCTTATCCACTTACGCTTATAGAGTGGCTTGTACTGAAGTACGTTGTGCTTCAGTTAGTTGTGATTATGCTTTCACTAAAATGTTTTTCTTGGTGAACCGATTTTTAATAGTTCTTATAATCGCTTTCTATTTTTCAGGCTCTTCATCCGTTGGAATCATGTGTTTCTGTATCATCAGATTTGTGTTATATACTTCGGGCATCTTCAATTTCGTGGTCATGTGGTTCATACGAAGATAAAGTTACTGACACAGTAGGATATTATCATTTCAATTTAAACGATATGCAAGTGTCAGTAACATTTCCTTTGGGAAATCAGACAGTCAAATGTCAGCGTTGTAATAGGCACACGAATAACAATTTTAAAGATAACTTATGTCCCCGTTGTATACAGGTATTAGATGGTTCTTCATTTGCAAAACACTAGTCAAATCCTTGTAAATTACTTGTTTTTCTAGTTGTATTACAAAAATAAGATAAATAGTCTTGCTTATTTTGTTTCATTTAAAATATCTTGTTTTCTATTTAAAACTCAGACTGATTGATACGTTGGCTAGTTTATCATTTAAATGTAAATACTTCGTTGTTCATAGTTGAATATTTAAATTCATCAGAATATGTGACATTTTGAATCCCAGTTTATAAACCTAGATTCAGCTAACTGAAATTATAAGCAGTTTGTAGTGTTAATATTTAAACAATCTCATTCGTTTAAATGTTTTCATCCTTTTTTTGACTATACACTTACAAGATTTTTTCCACGCCTTTGTGATAAACTGTTGAGTGTATAATATTATACATCAGTGGATATTATGAATAGCATTGTTTGTCATCATTTCAATTGACGATAGTTTCACCCGGGAATAACTCAAATTATTTTTCAACCTGTTTGTCGGTTAATTTAATTAGCGTATATATTTCCAACAAAACACACTATTTATTCACTGGCAGAGAAAAATAAAAAAAGTGAATTCGATAATTGACTAAAAAGCATGCATATCCACAAGAATAAACCTCTTATTATTAAGTGTTATATCTGATGATAGTACCAGCGAAAAACTGTGGTTGGCATTTTTATTTACAAAAGATATCTCAGTAACACTTCTTTCTTCCACATGAATATCTTTAGGATATCAGTCTATAGGTTAGAAAAGCGTTCGATTTCCAACAAAATGAGCTCGGTCGATGATAGAGCTATGAGGGTGAATATCACTTCCCTGTTTCCCACACCATGGAAGGATATTTCTTCAGGAACCTAAAAAAGAAGTTAAATTAGTGGTCTTAGCGACCTAGGAGCGTGACTAAATAGTCCAAGCAACAATTATTTGAGGTCGGTCGCTAACGGCCTTTTTATGGGAAGTTTTTGATGTGTTAGCTCCTCACTTCAAAAGACCTTTCGCCTGGAGACGGAAATCCGTAGGATAAGGTGAAGTGTCACATTTTTTAAGGTCGACCTTTTCTAACCGCTTTCTTCCGTTGTGAGAAAACAGCATCTCCGCAGATGCTCGTTGTTTGAGGGGAACTCCTTACTGTTGTCACAGCCTTCTGCAGTCAGCAGTACGACTTCCTTGTCTGGTCTTAAGGTCGACTATACGTAAAATATATTTTTTACAGTTTAACCGAAAGCGGCTCACAGCTATTTTTGTGATATAGACGATATAACTCGACGAGAAATAACGCTTTCGTGGAATGAAGAAAAAGTGTAAGATAATTTTGGAACTCGGGATCTAAAGGATGATGCGTGAGTGCAGCTGCACTATTACGAACGATTTTGAGGCATGTCTCCCATCGTCTCCAACCATTAGTTACGATAATCATGTGAGCCGCAAGCAAATATTTTGAATATACCAACATAGCTTAGTGCAACTGATTCTGTTTCTTTATTTGAGTACTTCTAACTTTCATACAACTTACTCTTACACCATCTGTCATTGCACATCGAGGTAGGCCGAGGTTAGACATACGTAACATACATTCCAGTTTCTTTATTCGACGGCAACTCACTGCATCACCACTCGATTTCCCATAGCCTATCTGGTACCCTATGGCTAACCTCAGCACTGGGCACTCAGTGGTCTCAACATGCACAAGCAATCCTTCGAGTGCATTTGTGGTTGAATACTAGGGACTTACGAATATCGATGTAGAGAAGGACATCCTGAACATAAATTGTTGGTCAAGGCGATAGGATTACTGCATTATGTCATGGTCTTCACCAAATAGAACCATATCATCGTCGTATTCTAAGTCAACAAGTGAATCTCCCTGTAGAATATAAATCCTTGATGCTGTAGTCACTGACTATACAAATTGGCAAAAAGGTGTGTCGGTTCAAGTTACCATCAAGTTGAATAGGCCGTACTTACAAGCAATTATACTTAATTGAGAATTCAGACGTTGTGTACAGAATGAGTTAGCAGATTTCATTGTATTGAAAAAAACATTTAACAATCATCTAAAACTAATTTAGGACCATATTCTTTATCTCCAGAGTACAGTTGTACTGTTAAATATGATTATTTCAAAAATAGGGTTCTCATGAAGCAAGTAATATCAATTGTTGTAACTAAATTATTTTTAATTTATTTGTTATATTTTGCTTATGTGAGATGATTTCTATGACGTTTTTATTATAAATATTGTAATTCTATGTAGTTGAGGTTATCCAACAGACAAAATTAAAATATTTTTATTAATAGGAGGAAATCTTGTGTAAATACGTAGTAAAGTGAGAATAACCAAATTATATTTCCATATGTTTATCTAATTAAATGTATGTATGTCTTTTCTAAAGCGTTTGGTTATTGGATAATGCTAGATAGAAACTAAATGATTGTGGCAAGCGGTCAAACAGTATTAATCTCCGAAATTAAGGTCATTGTGTCAAATCGGAAGAAGAATATGATAATGACATTTACGAACAGTCAATTTGAATGTCAACTTCAATGCAAATGTTTAATGAATAAAAGCCATAAAAATGTTATTTTACTCATAAGTTTGGATAGTTCTTACATTTGTTACACTCGGTGAACGAAAACAAACAACCTTGATGAAATTTAGTAGAGAAATCAATGCCGCAGTTGGTTAGCTGCACTTAGTTCTTCAAATAAACGATTCTTAAACATTTATTGAGCACTTCTTATTGCACTATGAGTTTACCTAGTTCTTTTTACGCGATCAACTGACTTTGTGCATTCTATCTAACGGTAGCTTTCAAATATATCCCTTAACGTCAGATGTCATAAAAAATGATTTGATTACTTAATATTGCACAGCTACGTAGCAATGTGCCGTAATCTGTCCCAAAATACTGTCAAAATTTATGTAATTGGATAAATATAGGATTTCATAGTTTAAATCACAATCTGATCTTAGATCAGCATTAAAAACCTGGAAGCACCAGACGACCGTTTGATCCCAGTATGGAACGTCTCGCTAGTGCACATTCACGACCCTACATCCCGAAATCGAATCTAAGACCCTTTATTTCGCGAGCATGCGCATAACATCAATGTTATGTTCTTATAGGTTGTTAATTATCACTCGATACGATACTGACCAAACCAATGACATAAACCAGTGCCAGTAGTTCAGAGTCAACTCTGATTTCTTCTTGGTCCGCCGAGATAGTAGCTTCTCGCCTAACCCAGCCGGTTCAGTCCAGAACACCGATATAGCCTCCGCTGTATGAATCATGTATTTGAGATATACTGGGTTTATATACAAATAAACCAGACCAACATCATATCGTAAAATAGAAGATAACAATTATGCAAGATCAGGCCAGAAAGTGACTGTGATTGTCAGATACTGTTACTATTAGATTGAGAATAACTTAAGAATAGTGAATCGTGTAATAGTAGTCAGTTAGTTGAATTACATCCGCTATCCCTCGTGAAGGAGCAAAGGCCGCCACCAACATTCTTCATCGAACTCTCTCCCGCGCAAACCTCTCCAGTTGCTACTCATCATTTGGATGTTTGCTTCCATATCCCGACGTAGTGTGTTCTTCAGCCTTCCTCTTTTTCGCTTCCCTTAAGGATTCCAGGTTAGCTCTTGCTTCGTGATGCAGTTTGATTATCTCCTTAATGTATGTCCGACCCACCTCCAAAGTCTTGAACACTGTTTTGTCTTCCATGTGTTCTTCGATTGTAGGAATGTTGCCCTTCTTTGCCAATCCATAAATTTACATCAGCATCTGATCCTCCTTGTTCATCGATGCTGCTGCTCAGATACGTGGAAGATTCCACCTCTTCCAGAGCTTCTCCATCAAATGTGATTAGATTGATGTTCTTTGTGTTAAATTTGAGGATCTTGCTTTTACCCTTGTGTATTTTGAGGCCTAGTGATGCAGAGGCTGCTGCTACACTGACTGTGATTTGTTGTTGTATATGGGATAGAAGGGCCAGGTGATCTGTGAAGTCCGAATCTTCTAGTTGATTCCGAGCTGTCTATTGTATTCTGTGCTTCCCTGAGATGTCGAGGTCTTCATAATCCAGTCAACCACCATAAGAAAGAGAAAGAGGGAAGAGTAGGGAGTGTTGTCTGACTCCGGTTCTTATTTGGAATGCATCTGTCCTCGATGCACGACTTCTCAGTGTAGTCCGTCGTATGAATTCCACATGATGATGCAGTTTGTTCAGTTGTCCATTGCTTATTTAGCTTTAGCTTCATCTTGGCAACCATCAGGTGGTGATCTGAAGCTATGTCATCTCCTCTCCTGGTTCTCACATCTTCCATTGACCTTCTGGATTTTTTGGTGACGCAAATATGATCGATGTGATCCTGTGTGGTGTGATCCGGTGAGACCCGTGTAGCTTTGTGTATTCGTTTGTGTTGAAATATTGTTCTGCCTATAACCAATTTATTGAATGCACATAGATTTGCAAATCTCTCACCATTCTCGTTCGTTTTGCCCAGTTAGTCCATGTCGTCACATGATATCTTAATAACCGCTATTGTTCATTCCGACTTTGGCGTTTGGATCTTCCATCATTATGGTTAGGCCCTTGCCTGAGCACTTCACTATGATCGATTGTTGGTTGTATAACATTGGATAACACTCATTGTAATTCCCTCGTTCTTTGTTTCGAATGATACTTTGATGATCCTGGGTTCATGAGATTCCCATTCTATAAGCGCTTTGCGTGTTTGTTTGGACGGCATCAGATCAACTCCCTGTGTGTTTATGTGTGTGTGGAGCATTTACTTGTTTGTGACCAGAATAGAATAGCATCTCTCCCGAATTTACTCTTTTCTGTTCAATTTGGATCCAATAGTTTCTACATGTTGGGAGAATCGCCAAGTTGTATCTCCTCATTTCGGTTGCTGTTTGACTGGTGCTCCCGATCTCTCAAATTGTTCGAATATTCCGTGCACCTATAATAATGGTTGCTGTGGTTGTTAGAAGTATCGATCTCGTGACTTCCTTAGGATCTCGGCTTTTATCGTGAAGCGTCCTAATTCTTCCTTGTACTCGGGGGGCACAGTGTAAATTGTTTGATTTGTTTATTCTGGTTAATGTTTCTTTAGCGATGTATTTTCCTGCGGGATGGGGTTGCCGACCACATGTCCAACCCTCCTCGTTTACCCGTGCTCGAGACTGATAGTCACTATAGGTGAGTCACAGGTGGAATTCATTTGGTGAGATTTAAGCTTATAATAAATGGAATATACAATAAGAATATATATTGTTATAATCCATAAATAAATCCTAGCGGTTACAATTCACTTATTGTTCTTCTGTATATAATATTCTAGACCCACTGGGTTTATTATCGTTGTTTTACTGTTCCTATTGCGCATGTAAATATAGA